ACCATATGATATTGATAAAAGTAATTTGATGCAATTTTGGTCGGAGGTTTGTCCCTGAAATTGACTAAAGCTTCATGTGGTTAATAATTATAATTTCACTTAGGATGAATACCACGTCTTAAAAGTTGCATGGTTTTTCAAAGGGTTTTCATAAAGCTTAATGAGTTTTGCATATTTAGATTTGATCTAAACACCATAGACGGATTGTATGTTTGATATACGTTCTATATTGAGGGTCTAAGTAAAGCATACTTTAGGAAAACCTAACCTTCAAAATATGCATGTGTAAGTTATAAATAATTGGAAGAACTACGTAGGATTGTTAAGGTAACGGCGGAATCCTAGTATTTTTACAACTTTATTTTCTTGACTATTTTATTTTGTTTTCCTTACTTTACGATACCTTTAATTGTTTTAATTAAAATTCGCTTTTATTATTTTTAAAATGCCAAAATGAACCTTTTCAAAACTTTTTTTAAAATAATTAATTAATATTTGGTTTTAATATAAATTGTTTTAATTAATCCATGTGGAGAACAATCTTGGATGAGCATTCTTACTACAACTACCTTATTCTATTGTAAGTATTTTTAAGTGTTTTTTATCTTTACTTTCGCAGGTGGTAAAAATTCTATCAATAACAAAGAATATTTATAGCCTTTTAGCCTCTCTGACAATAGTTTGTAAAATACATATCGGGTATAATATGTGAAAAATATGTTCGTGTATTATTCAACTTTGAAAAATTAGGACATTTTTTTATTTTAATATTTATTTATCTAAACAAATAAATAATTTTAATTTATCAAAAATATGTATTGACTACGTGAATTTTATATGTATTATTGAAAATTACATTGACAATAACTTGTATTAAACGTGAAACGTAGGTACGTACATGTTTAAAACATGTATTGTGCCTAAGACTTTTTTTTTTTTTTTAACAAATGATATTATTTACACTATGAGAGAGGGGATGTGCTTAGCCTCACTATGACATCCCACATCGCCCAGGGGAGTGGATCCTGTAAGCCTTATATGTATATTCCCATCTTTACCTAGCACGAGACCTTTTGGGAGCTCACTAGCTTCGGATTCCATCGGAACTCCGAAGTTAAGTAAGTTCGCTCGAGAGCAATCCCATGATGGGTGACCCACTGGGAAGTTCTCGTATGAGTTCCTAAAAACAAAACCGTGAGGGCATGGTCGAGGCCCAAAGCGAACAATATCGTGCTACGGCAGAGTCGAGCCTAGATGTGGTGGGGGCCCGGGCAGGGATGTGACACTCACAATAGACTAGACTTTTTAAAAAAAAAAGGTGCAATTTAACGAATCATCAAAACGTTTACGAAAAAATAAATTATTTTGAAAAAATAAGTACGTGCATAATGCGCGGATTTGCTAACTATCTTGTGACCTCTTACCAATAAAACAACAAAAATTATAAAAAGATAGATTTGATGAATAATAATAATTCTGTTTGCTCCTTAAATCCGCCATGGGCCTTGCGGGCAAGCCGGGATTTACTTCACATACGAGATTGGTGGGTGCGGGCGTGCCACTACTAGATTCCGCTAGTAGACGGGATTTGAATGATTGAGGTTGCGCCTGAGTTTGACTTCGAACCAAGAGATTGTGACATTGAGTGGGAGTTACTCAAATTAAGGTTCTTTGTTTCCCTTAAAAATAAGGACTTTACTTATATGGAGAGATAGAACAATATGTAAATGACAAGGTTGCTTGGAAATATAAATGACAGAGGAAAGTGACTAATATATTGCAAATCCTATCTACTAGCGGAATCTAGTAGTGGCACGCCCGCACCCACCAATCTCGTATGTGAAGTAAATCACTGGCTTGCCCGCAAGGCCCATGGCGGATTTAGGGAGCAAATAAATTCAGCAGCAAAAAATGACACGCATTTCATGAGGTCATTAATTTAAAATCATCAAGCAAAAGAATGAGTGTATCCACCATCTAGTATTACTACATTAAGATGTGAGAATGCGAAGAAATGGGGAAATTTGGAAATTTGGAAAAATAACCAAATTTCGGATCCCAAATAAAATTCTAACCACCATTTTAAAATTTTAATAATTATAATCAAAAGTTGATATGAAAATACTAATACACTCTTAAAATAAAGTTTTCTATAAAAAAAATACCAAAAAACTAAAGGCTCAGCTGTCTTACCGCCATCTCTGTCCTTTCTAGACGATAATCCAAAACCACATAAACTTAACCCAAGCACAGCCAGCCATGGCGTGCAGCACGATCCCTCTCTCTTCCTCCTCCTCTTCCTCTTTTATACTCTCACACATAACCTTCGTTTAGTTCCAAACCCCCAAAAAAAATTTTGATTTTCACTCTCAGTCTCGGTCAACTTCCTCTTTGCTCTCTAATTTCTGATTTTCAACTACGACGATGTAATCCTTGAGTTCGAGTACTTGCACCACCAAGCTTACAACGAGGCCTTCGCTCACTTCAGTGTCCACTGCCTTTCCTCAACATCTCAGCCCCTCAATTGGGACCTCCACTTCTAGGATCAGCTTCAAAACCAAATCGTTGGTGAAAAACATAAAATGCGATGGTCCCTTCTCTTTTTCTCTCATTTTCTCCAAAGGTTGAACTTTGGATTTTGTTTTCTTCTATGATTGAATTGGGTTTTGGGTTGTTTAATGAACTTCAAGGAGCACGGGTGGCTTTGAACTTATTCAATTCTACTTCGAATCTCTTGATCTTAATTGAATCTTGCTTTGTTTAATTTCCATGGATGACATTTTTTTTTTTTTTTTTTTTGAGAAAACTTTATTTGAAGGGTGTATTAGTACTTTCATATCAACTTTTGGTTATAATTATCATAAATTTCAAAAAAGGTGGCTAGAATTCTATTTTGGGTCCAAAATTTGGTTAGTTTTCCAAGTTTCCCGAAGAAATGACCCACTTATAATGTTAGCAATGGGCTAGTGCGCTCCTATATCTAATTGGTTTTTAGATCAATACACAACCCATACGAAAGGGTTGTTGGAAACATAAATAGTTGTGAATTGGCTTTTTGGCTTTTTAGCAAAAATAGTTTATAAGATTTGTATAACTCCTCAATTTGTTACTTGACAATGAAAATCAATAGATGTGGTCCCTAAGTTTGTACACCGAAAGTCATTTTGGTCCTTATGGGAAAAATCTATCAGTATCCTCCTCGTTAATTGTCACGTTAATGGCCACATGACCACATTTTTAAGGTACTTTTGCCAAATAAAACCCTCAAATTAATGAGGATATTAATAGTCTTTTTTCATGAAATTAAAGTTGTACATCAAGAAAATAAAAAATGAAGATGATTTTCACACATCATTCTTAACCTTTCACACACCCTTTTTTTTAAATTTTGGTTACAGAATTGAAGAAATCAAATAAACAATTGACCTTTTTTTTTCAATTTTCACACATCATTCATAACAACTCACTCTACCAACATTTTTTCAAGTCTCAGATTCCAAGCTAGCTGGAATATTACGCCATAGGATAATTTTTTAAGACATCGTTGTAAAGTTAGAAAGATAAGATGATTTTTCCAATTTCTTCTACTCTTCCTCGTCAACATTATTCCAACATATATGCTGGCTGGAAGCTACAAGGAATGCATATTTCCAACAAATTAAATTATTAACATGCATAAAAAACAAACAAACGCATTAGAGATTATATAAAACCCAAAAGTTCATAAAGACCTAATAAATAATTATATATACACAAGAACATGAAATAATTCACAAGAAATTCAAGTTCAGATGCAAGTATAGTTCTCAAATTCAAACAGCTTTTTAGTCAAAATGATCACTAAAATTAGCATAAATCTTTACTTTGGTCCTTAGAATTTAAAATCGACATAAGTGGTCCCTGAGTTTGTCCGCCATCACTCAGGGACCACTTCTCTCGATTTGAAATCTTAAGGACCAAAGTCAGGAGTTATGTTAATCTCAGAAACCATTTTAGTTAAAAAGCCAATTCAAACGTAGCGGCAGCGGTCCCATAACATATTTAGGGAAGGGTTTGCTTTTAATAATATTTCTGGATTATAAATCTAAAAAATTTATCGTCTTTGTCAAAAGTTACTACATGAAAAGAAAGAAAGAAAACAGACTTTAACACCCTAGTGATTTACAACTTCATCAAACATACAGAACTCATGAAAACAACGAAATCAATTTTGTATAGCAAAAAAGAGAAGAAATAAATCGGGTACATCCTTCGTGGACCAAAAGGCCGAACACAACACATTGAAATAAATTCGGCCTAAAAAGTCCAAAACAATAAATTTAAGTATCCTTGTGCGACATGTAGAAAACTCAGACAAGGGAGCCACTGTTCTTGCTATAAAAAGGATAACAAGGGTTACAAAACAACAATGCAAGGATGTTGAATTTTAAGTTTTGTTTAAATTGTATATTTCATAGATTGATGAATGAAAGTACACGGCGTACACGGCAGGATATATAGGAAAGGAAAGAAAGGGAACCAGTTACAAGCAACCTTTCCCTAAACAACTCTAACAACTAGGTAAACCCTAAAGCTATCAACATCCTTAAATCAAGGGATTTCATCAAACAACTAAAAACCATGTCAACAAGTCAACTAATCCTTAATTTGAGGGAGCCATTACGGGGACCATACTCATGACAACTAGGTCCATCAGTCCAGTTACTCCATAGAGTCCCATGCATATCTTCCCATCACTCCAATATCTTCCAATAATTATACTTCAACACCCCCTTTTAAGCTAGATCGAGGGGATTGATCGAGCCAAGCTTGCCCAAAAGACGATGAAATTGAGCAGATGGCAGAGATTTAGTGAATAGGTTAGCCAATTGATCATAACTGCGAGTGAACACAGTATGAATGACCTGAGATTGAACCTAAGATCGAAAAAAATGACAATCCAACTCTATATGCTTCGTTCTTTCATGGAAGACAGGATTAGCAGCAATGTTCATGGCTGCCTAATTGTCACACATGAGAGGCATAAAGTTGGAACAATGAAACCCTAGATCAAATAGAAGTCCTTTGAGCCAAATAAGCTCACATGCAGTGGCTGCCAATGCACGATACTCAGCTTCTGCACTTGATCGAGCAATGACATGTTGCTTATTGCTTTTCCAGGTTACAATATTGCCTCCCATAAACATGCAATAACCTGTAGTGGACCTTCTATCAATGGCATTGTCTGCCCAATCAGCATCAGTGTAACCACTTATGCTTGTAGATTGGTTATTTTGCATGAGAATTCCTTTCCCAATGGACCCTTTAAGATAACGAAGAATCCGTTTAACAACGTTGAGATGATCAACGGTGGGAGAATGCATAAACTGACTAATTATCTCCACTGCATAGGTGATATCAAGACGAGTGATAGTGAGGTAAATTAGCTTACCAACCAGTCTTTGATAATAACTAACATTATGAAGAGCTTCCCCATCCATGGTGAGCTTGCGTTTGCTGTCAATTGGAAAGGTTGCAAGTTTGCAATCAAGTAGATTTGTCTCCTTGAGAAGATCAGCTACATATTTTCTTTGATTTAGGAATAATCCTTTGGAAGAAGTAGCCATTTCTATGCCAAGAAAATACTTCAGCCTCCCAAGGTCTTTGATGGCAAAGGTCATGTGTAGAGATTGCTTTAAGGCTGCAATCTTATTTGCATTGTCACCTGTGATTACGAGATCGTCCACATAGATAAGAATCATTAACCTTCCTCTTGTGCCAGTTGGAACAAATAGAGAGGAATCTGCATTACTTCTGAGAAAACCAGCCATTTCCAAAACTTAGCTAAGCTTGGCATACCAAGCTCTTAGAGATTGCTTTAGACGTAAATAGCCTTGTGAAGCTTGCATACCATACCATTTTGAGCTTGACCATAACCTGGTGGTGGTTGCATGTACAGTTCCTCTTGCAATTCTCCATGGAGAAATGCATTTTTTACATCCATTTGATATAATGACCATCGACAATTAACTACCACAGATAAAAGAACTCTGACAGTGTTCATCTTGGCTACTAGAGCAAAGGTTTCTTTGTAATCCACTCTAAAGGTGTGAGTGAATCCATGTGCAACCAGTCTGGCTTTGTGCCTTTCGATCGAGCCATCAGCCTTGAATTTCACTTTGAATATCCACATGCTGCCAACAACTTTCTTACCAAGGGGTAAATGAACAAGATTCTAGGTTTTGTTGTCATTAAAGGCTTGTAATTCCTCTGACATTACCTTCCTCCACTGAGAGGATTGATTAGCTTCCTGAAAAGTGCTAAGTTCAACATTATTGGCATCTTCAGTGAGAAACGCAGTGTGAGAATTTGAAAAACAATTCTAATTCAAAGTCTTAGTGAGGGGATGCCTTGAGGCATAAGTAACATAGTCCACCAACTTGATTGGTGGCTTTCTTGTTCGAACATGATATCTCCTGGCCTCTTAAGGTGTGGTTGATTGTGAAGGGGTTGAGCTTGCTTGCACTTCACTTGCATGCTTACTAATGGATGGAGAATGTAATTGGCCGGCACTTGGAATCAAGTCAACTTGAACTTATTCAATGTTTTGACAATCAGAAAGGTGATCTTCTTCTAGTGTATCGTGATCAGTCACTCTTGGTAAAGGAAACAAATCACTCAAGGTTTCACTTTCATCATCATGAGTCCCTTTTCTTTTATAGTAGGGTACCGTTTCATCAAAACGAACATCCCTAGACACAATACATTTCTTTATGATAGGATCAACACATTTGTATCCCTTTTGAGTTGGTGAGTATCCAACAAAGATACACTTCACTACTCTAGCTTCCAACTTGTCACAATTATGCGCTTGCACATGAACAAAGCAGCTGCAACAAAAGGTTTTAAAATGTGCCAAGTTGACAACCTTATTGTGTAGGGTTTCATGTTGGGTTTTGAACCCTAATACTCTACTTAGAAGTCTGTTGATTATATAGGCAGCAGTGAGAACAACATGTGACCAATATCTCTTAGGAACATTCATATGCAACATTAATGCTCGAGTTTTTTCAAGTAGGTCTCTATTCTTTCTTTCTGATACCCCATTTTGTTGAGGTGTTCCTACACAATTGGTTTGGTGAATGATCCCTTGTGAACTCAAGTACTGAACCATGTTATTGAATAGAAACTCAGTGCCATTGTCCGACCTAAGTACCTTAATGGTTGAGTTGTGTTGAGTTTGTACAAGGTTATGGAAATCTTTGAATATGCAGAAAACCTCACTTTTTTTATTTCATAAGGTATAGAAAGGTGGTATGAGTGACATCATCAACGAATATGACAAAAAAATTATAACCATCCATTAATTAAATTGTAGGTCCTCAAACATGAGTGTGTACCATCTCAAATGGTTTACATGTCTTAAAAGTAGAAATGCCAAAAGGTAGTCTAACTGACTTTGAAAAATGACATGTTTCACATTAAGTGGTGACTGACAAAACATGAGAAACAACTTTGACAACACAAGTTGAGATAGGTGAGCAAGTCTTTGGTGCCATAATTGTTGATGTTCAAAATACTTGGGGTCCGACTTGAAAGGCTCTAGGCATGACAAAAATTTTGCACTGGTAGTAGAGACCATTAAGAAGGAATCCTTCACCAATCATCTTCTTGGTGATGATATCCTAAAAAATAACCTTGTTTGGTGAGAAAATGGCATAACAATTTAGGGAGTTTGTAATCTTTCCTACTGAAAGTAATTGGAAAGGAAATGAGGGAACATAAAGGGTTAATGACTCATTATTATTTGTGAATATACTAGCTTTTCCCTTACCCAAAACTGACACATTTTTTCCATTTGCAACCGACACTAGTGAAGGTTTTTTGAATGCTTGAAAATCATGTAATTTGAAAGTTTGTTTGTCATGTGGTCAGTGGCACCAAAGTCAACAATCCAACAATCATTTACTTGTTTGTAATGCAATGGATAAAGCTTTGAGTATACCTGAGGCTCTTCATGAGTTGTAGATTTGTTATTTGTAAGGAATCCTGCAAATTGCCATAGCATAGCAGTGTGTCCTCAATGCTCAATTTGAGAGGTTGATGTAGGATTCCCATGCCCCTTGGTTTGCAGATACACAACAAACTTGTTTATGAGAGTCACAGGACTTGCAGTGAAGTTCATGGATCCAATAGAGACCCTAGAGATGAAGTTTGTTGCATGTTGACTCTTAAAGTGGCTTGATGGAATCATCTTCCCTTCCTTGGTGAATTTTGGCTTCAACTCGAGATGAAGAATCAAGCACTTTTCTTTCACATGACCAACACCATGACAGTAGGTACACCTGAGATGAGTATTCTTACCCTTGTATATTTTTTGGTTTGTAGAATAGGCTCGAGCTTCAGTTGACCTTAAACTTGTCTCACCATTCATAGCTTTCTTTCTAACTTCTTCACATTGGACAGTAGCACACACATTTTTTAAGCTTGGCAATTCTTGGCTCATAAGTATGTGGCTTTTGAGATCCTCATACTCAGAACTTAAACTTCCCAGAAGTTGGTATATCTTGTCTACCTCGCCTCTTTTTAGTAGGATATTTGCATTTGTGGTGTGTGGAAGATACACATCCAGTTCATTCCACAAAATTTTGAGGCTGCCAAGATGTTGCATGAAGGACTTCCCTTCTTGTTGAACACTTGCAATGTCTTTCTTTAGTTGAAACACTCTTGCATAGTTGTTTTGGTTTCCATACATGTCCTTCACTGAGTTCCACAAATCTCGTGAGGACTCTGAGTAACTGAATATTTATGCACCATGCTTTTCCATAGTATTGAGAAGTAAAGACATGACAAGTTGATCTTTGCATAGCCAAGCCTCATAAGTTGGTGAGGTAATTTCAGGAGCTTCGATGCTTCCATTTACAAAACCAAGCTTTCCTTCTCCTCCTAGGGCAAGTGAAACTACACAGGACCATGGTAGGTAGTTGTACTCATTCAGCAAGGCTGAACACAAACACTGATTTGTGTTAACCTCAATGTCTGAGAAATTTGAAAGAAAGGTATGCGAGTTGTCACCCTCAATATATACTAAATCTTCCTCAACCATGGCTTAAGGTTGAAGGAAGGATGCATCGGAAAGAAAAATGGCCAGAGGTAGGTTACAAAACCTGCTCTGATACCATGTTGAATTTTAAGTTTGTTTGAATTGTATATTTCATAGATTGATGAATGAAAGTACACGGCAGGATATATAGGAAAGGAAAGAAATGGAACCGGTTACAAGCAACCTTTCCCTAAACAACTCTAACAACTAGGTAAACCCTAAAGCTATCAACATCCTTAAATCAAGGGATTTCATCAAACAATTAAAAACCATATCAACAAGTCAACTAATCCTTAATTTGAGGGAGCCATTACAGGGACCATACCCATGACAACTAGGTCCATCAGTCACTCCATAGAGTCGCATGCATATCTTCCCATCACTCCAATATCTTCCAATAATTATACTTCAACAAAGAACAAGTCGTTTAGGGTTTTAGCGAAATCTCCCAAATCCCTAGCGTGGCATTTCCAAAGGATCCTACAACCTCTAATTAACTCACTATCTTCTTTCACTTTGAGAATATTCTCCGCCCTTCACATTCACAACAACATTTAAAATAAAAATAAAAATCTAAATTCCTTTCAAAGAATGAATCTTAAACAATTAGTTAGTAAACTAACCCTGTCGTACTGCAAATTACCAAACTTCTGCTCACCACTCAAGGTAAGGAGAAGAACATGGTTTACTTGTCATTGTCTATCCAGGATGTGCTGAGTTTGATGGGATCTGGATCAAATAGTCCAACCTGAAACTAATTGAACTTTTTCTTAAAGTCAGGCTCTACAGTCTCCCCTTGAGTCTCCCAGACCAATTGTCTAGCTTCCTAGGTTCCATTGCCTTAACATATGTCGTATAGCCCACACTCTCATGTGCTTAAGGCTTGGCTTCCTTTCTTTGAACAATTCACAAGGAATTTGAGGAACACACTCAAGGGAGGGTCTGGACTGTGCAGGACTGCTGGTAAGGGATATTGGGGCATGCGGTGACCGTGTGCGTCTAAAAATAGGGCCTGAGCTTCCAAGCCATAATAACTAGCGCCAAAATCAGCTTCTTGATCTTCAAGTATCTGGTTTATGCATCAAGGAAAGCTTTAAAAGTACAAAATACAAGCAGTTATGCCACTAGCTTTTCTCGTATGAGGGCAAAGCTTACTGTTACTTGTGACATTGCCAAGTAGATATATAAGTAATCCAATGCTTCTGGCTTGGATAGTAAATGAGCTGAAAAGTAAGGTACTTCTTTAAGTCCTAGAACGTCTTTTCACACTCATTGTTCCACTTATCCCTTTAGGTTATCTTGATTACCTTGAAGAAAGGTTTCCATCGATCGGTTAATCACGAGAAAAAATGGTTAACAGATATTGCTTTTTTGTTCAGACTCTAGATCTACTTCAAGGTAGTCGAGGACTTCATATCTAGATCGTTCAGATCTTCTTTGAATGTGCTTCGATTCTTTGATGGGCCATAAGGTACCCTTAGAATTTGCCTGAAGATACTCTAAATGTGCATTTGGAGGGGTTGAGCTTCATCATGTACTTTTAGTGAATGTTATATGTCTTCACCAAGTTCTTGATGTGGTTTGACTGCTGCTTGGGGTTAAGAATAATGTATTCATCGTCTTTTTCGAGTTTCCATCCTGACTCGTCTGGTTGCAAATCATCCTGGACGCCATCTTCTTGACCTATTTACCGTAATTGTTATCTGGTAAAGGTAGAATCATATTTCT